CGACTTTTTATACCTCATATCACCGACCAGTGGTTACATATGGATGTGTTAAAACATGGACATAGACTCTGAAAATAACTGGGGATTTTTTGCCAATCCCCAGTTAGCCGCTGAGGATCCGATCATCTCCGGTACTTGAATGGGATTGGATCCCTGCACCGTGTTGAAAAAAAAAAGCCTATTCTATCAATAATCTGGGTAAATTTGATCACGACCTCACTGTTCTCCCTCACTGGAAACCATGGTTAATAAGGGAAATCATCCCAAAATGACCGTAATTCAGGCTAGTGAAATATTGTAATTTACGCAGAATAATAATCCCCCAGTTATATATAAATTGGTTTATAAAGCCCATGAACTATGGTTTATACCTACATAAAATACCTACCATAAACCATACTTCAGTTAAGCCACAGGGCAACTTATCGATGGATTGGTTTGTTGGGGAAAATCTTCACCGGAAACCATCGATTTTCCCATGAAGATCATGGGGTTTTCCGGTTTCAATTTTCCCTTAAACCAATCCATTGAATTAATGATAATCCCCAATAAAGATTGGTTATATCTCACAAATTCTCGTGATGTGTCACAATACCTTCGAGAAATGCTACGTGTGTTGCTTTGTGTTGCCCCATGGTTGTGCTTGTTGGTTTCTGTGTCCACATCCAACTGTAGATATATCCATCATTAAGCGACATAAATCCAAGCGAGTGAGGCTAGTTATAAACCGTTCACATCTGAATTTGGGGCGACCTCTCTGTGATTTGGAAATGGTGTTTTCCCACCTCGGATCATCATCACAAGTCATGCAGTAAACGAAGTAACGAAGTTGATTAACAAAACACATGAAAATCCACTACTGGTCTGGTTGGTGGTTTGGAATATGAATTTTATTTTCCCATACATTGGGAATAGTAACCCCAACTGACTTTCATGTTTTTCAGAGGGGTTCAAGCCACCAACCAGATTAAGATCCACTATGTAAAGATATATCATAACATATCTACCACAAACCCTCGCGAAATTGGAGTTATGTTCACCGACTGGCTAACTAGATATGGTGAAATCACATGACATCACATGACATTGGCTCTAGATATCCGCATGGGATCCGCATTGGATCCATTCCAACCTGGTTGGTGGTTTGGAACATGGCTTTAGAGAGGGTTATTTCAACCATCGTTAACCATATAATAACCATCATCATTAACCACCATTAACAGTATATAAACCATGTATTTCTCCATTAACCACCATTAACAGTATATTAACCATGTAATAACCATGTATTAACCACCATATATTTCTCCCATAGTGGTAGGGTTTCTGGAGGTGGACAAAGTGGTGTTTGAGAAGGGGCCCAAAGATGCGGACGCCTGTCGTGTGGCTTTAGGGGCCCTGAGGCCGACTCGGCGGGATGGTGACTTCCGAAATCCATGGGAGGTTTCTCAGTGAACGGCACATGATCATTATCTATCTATATTTTTATCCATCTATCTATTTATTTATCTATGTATTTATCTATCTTTCTATCTATCTATCTATCTATCTATTTTTCTATCTTTCTATCTATCTTTCTATTTATCTATCTTAGGTTGCATTTAAATCTAGATGTCAAGATTAAATTCCAGTTGAATCGGAATGGGCCGGGATATTCCAAGTTTCTCAATGGATATTTTTAGCCACAACCACAATTGTTCTGTTTTGCCTCAGTTTATTCGTTTTGGTGGATGACCATTACATCAGCCACTAAAAGTCGTCAATAGAAAAACCACTGGCCGACCCAAAAGAGGGCACTTCTTTAGATGGGTCCAGCAAGTTGCCACTTCACTAGGTCAATCTTAGATTCTTTGATGGGTAGTTTAAGCCTTTAGTCTTTTGGTATCAATGGGGTTATCTACGTTCACCAGCTAAGTTTGTTTTTGGCAATTGATTCCGGGTGAGTACCAACGGGATTATCAGTACCTAAGATGTGGATATAGTATTCCCATTGGTATCCAAGATTCTCAGTTGGGTACCTAATATTGCCTTATAAGATCTTCCAAGTGGCTTAACTATAGTTTATGGTAGATATAACTTTTGTTGTCATAGGGGTTTATCAACCTACTTACTGGGATGAAGATTGGCAATGGATGTAGTCAACACCTTCCAGGTGACTCTCCATAATGATAGATGGCTTAGCCATCACCTGAAGGGGGCTGAATAACCCAGGCTTCGGGCCGGACATCCCAGGCTTCCAACATGTCAGAACCAGCTTACAAACGGAATATCCCCAATTATGGGTTTCAGGATCCTAAATTGGAGGTACCTACCATATATTTTGGTCCTGTTTTTTAGGCCTAAATTTCAGGGAATATCCCAGCAAAATTATGGCCTTATAAGTAACTAACGTACCTACATTTTTGGATCCTGAGATTCCCATTGATATATGAAGCCTTTACTAACTAACTGCACATCCTCGTAATTTAAGTACTTTCTTTGTTTCCATACATGGCAATATTTCCTGCGCTGCTGCTTTGTTTCAGAGTATCTAAGATTGGCCACGTTTTCGAATCTCTGATGCGGTCAAGAAAGCTTGGAAGTTCAAGTGTTTTAAATACAGTGTTGTTCAGTCATTTGACTTCAAGGGTACGACACGGTGCTTCTGAACCAAATCACAATCATGACCCATGAAGACCCAGCGAATGTTGCTTGGTGTTTAGCTTTTTCACCGCAGTGATTCTTACCGGTGTTTCTTTGCTTTCTATTGAAAGACCTGCACTAGGTCAATCTTAGATGGGTAGTTTAATCGTTTAGTCTTTTGGTATCAATGGGATTATCTACGTTCACCAGCTAAGATTTTTTTTGGCAGGGTATCAAAGATTGGCCATGTATATATGATGCCTTCAAAATCCCGCAAACTTCCACAGGGTTTTCAACAAATGGGGATAATCTTTACTAGGGTTTTCCATGCCCCATGGTTTGTGCCGAATGGGTTTGTTTTTGCTCGCGGCGCTGTTAGCGACCCTGTTTCGGAAAACGCGGCGCTGTTTCGGGTGGGGTGGGGGGGTGTGAACACCCACGTCTTGTGCTCTTGTTTGTCTCTTGAGGTCACGTGTTTGTTCGGTTTCGGGTGGGGGGTGGGGGGGTGGTGGTGAACAGGTGGGGGGTGCTACGTCTCTAGCTCTTGTTTGCACTAGCATCCTACAGGAGATGATACTACGCTACGACACGTTAGCCACATGCATCTTCCTTTATGTTATGTTCAGTCACCGAGAGAACCTCATGAAAGACCTGGCCAAGATGGCGGACAAGAGATGATGAAGATGAGAAAAAGAGGCTTTGGTGGGAAAGCGCTCTGGAATCACATTAAAGAAAACAAAGTTTGAAATGCAGAATTCCTATCGTTCAAAAAACAAACGACCTCGCCCTCTTGCAATTTCCAGTGAGTCCTGATGTTGCAAACGAAATGGAAAATTTGAAAATGCTGCGAAACGCTTGTTTTTTGAAAGATCACTGATGGAACAATGTGCAAATCTCTCAGGGTCGCTATTGGCGCCGGTACCCTTTTTTTGGTGCCTATGAAATAACGCAGCTAGAAGGTTATGTATAGGTTATAAGTTATAATGAACCGCTCACCTGGGATGCATATCTAAGCTTGAGACCGTCAAGTTTCAAGGCTTTGCTTTGCGGTTTGTCGATGACTTTTTTTTTTGCTCAATGGGAGATCCAGTCCGACTAGCGAATCTATAGGGTTTTTTGCTTGTTGGTGTTGGGTTCCTTCAGCAAATCCAAGAAGGTTTATACTTCGCCGTCTCAATTGTAACTGGCCCCCCTAAGAGTTGTTGCCGTGGTAAGGGGACACCCATTCCACAAAAGTGTTGACCCAAAGGATTGTGCTTGGCTCATGGAATGTAGTATCATGGCCCATCTTTACAAGGTGGCCCCCCCAAAGGACAGCAAAATTGGATTGCAACATATTGTAACGTGTCATAACTACAATAGCCAGGCTTTATGGTCAATAAATCTATGGTTCCTTGGGGTCACCAACAAAAATAACTGGGGAGCACCATCTTGTAGGTTCCACCAACAGAGCTTTTTCTTGAGTCATGTTGAAGCTGCTGACGGGTCGCGCAACAGGGATTCAGTCCATAAACCTCTAGATATGAAACGCTTCAGCGAAAAAGCTGCGCGGTTGTCCTGGGCAGAGCGAGGTGAATGAGAGATTGACGAGTGACGAGTCGGCCTGGCTGGCGCCTTGGGTGACTTGCAAAGATGATACGGTGAACAAAGGGCTGGGCTTCCCAAGAGCCAACAAGGATCAGAAAGCACATTAAAATTCCATTTCATCCTGGCCAGGGCAGTTGTAAACTCGTTTCTTTGGATGTGAAAAGGCAGCATCTTGTTTGGCAAGCGCGCAATGCGGGGAGAATTTGTGTTCTGTTTTTGCTATACTTTGATGTTGCTGGAGTTTGCGGTTCGTAGTCAGAAATCTGAGTATGTCCTTCTGTAATTTAATTTACGACTTTATACGGTGTGAGAGCTAACCAGTTTAACTCCTAACAGCTTACTTAACTATATTGTAACGTCTAAGTTCATGGGCAAAAAATGCTTTCTGCCCCTGTCACAGCCATCGTTTGGGGTGCTGGGCGTCGCCATTGCTGAAAGCCAAGCACGAGCAACACACCACATATGTTTCCATTTTTTCCTGTTGTTTCCCAGACACATCCTTGCACATTGCTCCACTTAATGCACTATTTTTGTGGACGCAAATATCGATCCTGCAATCGCACTCGCTGGCCTCGCAGGCTGACGTCCCAAGAAATGATTTTCAACCGTCAGAACTTGGGAGACATGGGCTGTAGCCTTGTCTCTTGGCCATGGCGAAAGATGGTGGGCTATGATTGAATTGTGATATGAACAGGTGCATTTTTTTAAAAACGGTGTTTTTGCTCTTACGGTTAGTTGCCATTTTCATTATTGCTGGTAACATGGTTTTAGTTCCTTGGATTTGGTTGGCCATGTCAATGCAGATTTTGGCGGTTCTTAGGCTTGTGGTTTCATCCGACCGTGGGGTTCCCGCTTGCAGATTGCGAGGTCCGGGCGTCCGGGCTGGTATCCCGAGGGGGCGGGGGGCAAATCCGGCCCTGGCGGTATACTGGATAATCATGGGATTTAATCATGAAACTCTGGGACATGTTTTGGGAAATCATTGAGATATAATGGAATATGATGCTTTATGGGAAATGATACTAGATGATCATGCGTTATAGTGGGGTATATATATATATATATTATATTAAATATATATATATATATATTTATTTATTATATATATATATATATTATATTTATTTAAATTATATATATATATCGGTTTACAATGGAAGATCATCACTACTTGGAGGATCATCCCACGGATCGTAACTGCTTAGTAACTGTGGTTATGACTATAGCACAGTTGCAAATGGGATAGTCCACAACATGGGGACTTACTAGCCACGGTTATTGACCACTTACAATTCGTGCGATGATCCTCCAAGTAGTTATCAGTTGGCATTTTCAACCCAATCTGACTGGTTTAATATTGTATGCCTCCCACAAACCCTAGCTATTAGAGTTGTAAACCGACACGTATATATATATATATAGATAGATAGATAGATAGATAGATAGATAGATAGTTAGGGGCCTACAAGGGGCATCCACTTTTGACTTTGTCATGCTTAAACGGTGGTTCCAAAGTTCTACCAACCCCGCCGCGTCGCCACAGTAGAATCATCTCGTGCCAAAAGTTTCAGGGTATAGGTTACTGAATTATGATAATTCAGCGCAAAGAACAAAGCTATTGGAAATGGCCCTTGTATGCCTTTGTTGTTTCCGGAAAGTCCATGATTCCATGATTTGTAAATTGTATCCCATCGTCATCGTGGTCCTCCTCCTCATCACCGTTCAAGTTGTCAGAGATGGTATCATCAACCACTTCTGGTTGGTGGTGTGGAACATTTCTTATTTTTCCATATATTGGGAATAATCAGCCTAACTGACTCATATTTTTCAGAGGTATTGAAACCACCAACCAGACCGGACAATTTCCTACAGCGGGCCCCAATTTTTAGTTGGTTGATAGCCTCATCTACAGATATACCCACCCTAAACCCTAGTCATTGGAGTTATAAAGCAACTTAGCTATCATCAACTGGTGGCAATCCTAAGTTTCTCTGTTACCATCTGGTTATTTAACATAGCCATGGAAAATCCCAACCATAAATGGAGGTTTCTAGCTGGGAATATCAATGGGAAATTTTCCACGGCTATGTAGCAAATAACCAGAGGGTACATGCTAATACCATACTTATAGCCCATGTATATCTGGGATCATGAGGCTACAAACATGACAGGAGGTGAACTTGGATTTGCTCCAAATTTTCTCCGTGAAGTCCTGACTTTCTCGGGGTTCACCCCCTGTGGAAATTCCGCGTAGGTTGGTCGAGTGTGGCGTGGGCGATTTGGGCATCAGTTTCTTAGCCCGGCTCTTGGCGCACGCACGGCAGCCGGCGGTGAATTTGAAGGAACTCAATTTGATGCTTGGAGCTGGCTGCCTATGGAGCTGAAAAACATGGGAAAACCATGGGCAAATGGTAATTTCATGGGATTTCATGAGGATTCAATGGTGATTTAATGGGATTTACCGGGATTCAATGCAGGATGGGGCCCCCAAGATAGCGTTCAGCTTCCTTATAAGTGAATTAACTATGGTTTATGGCAGATATAACTATGGTTAATGGGGTTTATAATTTTTCTTAGAAATGCGGGGCACCATCCTGTTGTGAATGGAATGTTGGTAGGATACTAGTGGAATCCATTAATGGATCATTAATGGGATAATGAAACATGCATGGGATATTATTGGACCTGGTTGCCTTGGTGTTTCAAGCAGCCAGCATCGTTCAACCCACAGAATTTGATTATTAATGGATTCTCCATGGGATTCAAAAAGGATCGTCATGATTTAATTAATGGAGATATGATATGGGTTATTTAGTAGTGAAATAAATTGTTGTTGTCGTATATTGGGGGTCCGTCATTTTCTCAGAAATCTCCATGAATGATGGGGACAGCACAAACTCTATACCCTTTTTGGGTGCATTGTGCCCCTGCGCTACTTCATTGAGTTGGTCGATAGCTAGCTCAACTAGGCCCTGGTAAACATACAAAAAACGATGGAAAATCACCATGTTTAATGGGTAAACTCACTATTTCTATGGCCATGTTCAATAGTTTTTTTTGTATGTTTACCAGAGGGTAATGTTTATTGTTTTTGGACGGTTTATAAACCAACTTGCAATTGTTGGGCACCATCATGTACCAACTATACATACAAGTGAACCCAGAAGGATCATGATTTAGCCGAAAAGTTCCCCTCGACAAAATCCACTTGATGGTTCACGCCAGGAAGTCATAAGTAGATTTCATCACGCTAGTTTTAGCTTAATCCAGTTTCAATTGGGGTGAACTTATCCACTTACTCAACAAAAGTCCGACTAAATCCTAGAATCTCAGATTTACATCTTCAAAAAACATCGTTTATAAGCTACTACCTATATCTATATATATATATACATAGAAGCAGGTTGTAGCGGATAGGCCCCCTTCAGATCTACTTCCGAACTGACCGAGGAGCGCCAACAAATTTGGTGATCGTGGAATGGCCGAAGCTTAGATGAGATGGGTCACGGATTATGGATCCATCGATGTAACCCTCCGGCGTCAAACATGGCTGGCTGGAATTGAGTTTAACCATCAAGAAATGATCTGCTTGGTGGTTTGGAACCATGGAGTTTTTTGACTTTCCATGCAGTTGGGGACGAACTCATATTTTTCAGAGGGCTTCAAACCACCAACCACTGATTATTTTCGTGGGTTTTAATGTTCATGGGTGTGAATGAACGTATCGCGGGTTTAAAATGGGTTTGTTTATTTCATGGTACAATCAGACATGGCAGGCTGGGAAATCCACCGTTAACTAAATGGGCATGTCAATGTGACAAAAAATCAAACAAAAAATGGCGAGTTTTGCAGCAAACCTGGAGGGTGCATTGGTAATCTGTTCCTGCGTTTCTATCAAATACCCTGCAGAAACCATCGTTTAGTAGGAGACTTACACATAGATCACATAGGGGGTGGTTCATGTTCGGCTGGTAGGATTATAATACATTCCCACAAACTCTTAGCGGAGAATCGCTTGTCTCTCACCCTGGTGCTGCAGGGTGAATCTCAGTACATCAGGCTGCGTTCGTCTGTGGGCATTTGTTGCTATGTCAGCTCTGCCGGTGGATGCCAAAAAGGTCTTGTTTTCAATGTGCTGGCAGCAAACGGAGAGCAAATTCTGTCTTAGTTTAGGAGTTACATCCAGTAAATGAATGAAAAATGTCCAACTCAGAAACCATAGAAACACGACAATAGAATTACCATCTGGTTATTTAAAATAGCTATAGAAAATCACCATGTTTAATAGGTAAACCATCTTTTTCTATGGGCAATTTTCCATGGCCATGTTAAATAACCAGAGGGTAAAATGTTATACACTTTTCAAAATACCCTTCACCAAGCTTACCCAGAAAACCCACCGTTGCGTTCATGAAATCTGCGACAATGGCCGGAATTCTGGCCTGATATCTTGGAAGGTCGTTTATGGCAGATACCGTGGATGCTTGCGAAATCCTGCACCAGTTGGCAAGCGTTAGGTAACTATGAAACACTGTAAAAAATTGGCTTATCATGGGATTCACCATTTGCCAGCGCAGGGTTTCGCAACCATCCACAGTATATTTCAAGGTTTTGGGGGCTCATAAACCAACAAACAAGAAGTGGGGTGCACCATTTTTTACAACAGGCTCAGCATGAAGGGAAAATAATCTACAAACTTGGGGCTTTAAAGTTTAATGGCCCCATTGTTGATAGAAACATCGCATAAAACCAATGGGTTCCCACTATACGACTAGGTTAACCTTGGATGGGCAGTTGAGTCTTTATTTTTTGCGATTTTAAGAGGAAACCAACCTACTTGTTGGCTGGGCATCTAAGACCGGCAATGTTAATCCTAATAATAATTAATCCATTTATTTCCAGTTATCGTCCCTCTATATTATCTCATTGTTAATTCCCATTAACGGATCAAACCGCATTGTATATCCCATTAAGTACCATGATTTCCCACAAAATTATGTTTTATAAATGGTGTGAACATAAACCAACAAACATTAGAGTGTGGTGCCCCGCAGGTGTCAATTAGTTTATTGTAACCCCATTAATTATATAACTATGAATATAACCCACCTAAACCATAGAATGCACCAAGTTATAAGTCAACTTATTTACTTAATTCCCATTAAATCTCATTAAATCACAATTTTTGTTGGTAGAATCACTAACTTTGCAGATCTATGAAGCACTGCCCTGAAGCCACTGAGATCTTCAGGAACTGGCGGATGCTTTGCCCATGTTGGATTCCCTTGAGAAGTTGCTCTTGGAGCGGAACAAGATCGGACCCATGGGCGCACAGGCGGCCGGGGCGGCCGGGGGTGGGCCCCACACCTGGCGATTTGGTGGAATTTGACCATGGAAAATTGGGATTTCCTGGGAGTTCTCATGGTATTTTCAAGGGATTTGATGAGATTTTAAGGGTGATTTTCATGGGATTTAATGGGATTATATCCCATATGCTCCATGTATCAAATATTTAGTAAAATAGTTGTTATCATTATTTATCAACATCTGGGTATGGAATTATAATGGAATTTTAGTGTCTTAGGGTGGGAAATCATGGATATTGAAGGGATATGTGGGGTACCCATCTGGTGAGCAGGATAGAGGTGTAACAGGGTTGAGCATGATTTAAACGTCAAGCACGATTCTTTAATGAGCAAATTTGTAGATTAAGATATATAGGATTAAAGCATCGAAATATAAGTTACATGAGTGTAAATCACCTGCTAAGGTGGAAGGTAGTTGAATGATTGAATCGTTTGCCATAGAAGGAATTATCTATCAAGTATTTGTTGCTGGGCATCTTCCCTCTGGTAAACGTTTACATAACTATGGCAAAATCACCATGTTTAATGGGTAAACTCACTATTTCTGTGGCCATTTTCAATAGCTTTCTGTATGTTTACCAGAGGGTAAGATCGGCCATGGTCTGAAACAGTGGGGGTTTCAAGTTCACCGGCTCCGGCTGAATCTTCAGATTTTGATGCACCTGGACCTGTCATCACCGGGCAGGGCTCCTATCGGATAGGCGATCTCATGAAGGTCTCATGAAATCGCTAACGTCGGAGGCTTAACTGGTTGGTGGTTTGGAACATTTGGATTATTTTTCCATATATTGGGAAGAATCATCCCAACTGACGAACTCATATTTTTCAGAGGGGTAGGTATACCACCAACCAGATAAGATGAGCACCTTTTTTGATACTCATGATCATGTTACCCTCTGGTAAACTAACAGCTTGCCTTTGAAAATCACTGCTCTATGATAAACTTTATGTACGTAAATCATCGAACGAAATGGTCCATTTTCCACAGCTATGTTAGTTTACTGGAGGGTAAATCCAGCGAACAAATCCGCATGCATTGAAGGTGTTCAATCAGTGCATCCTTTCTGAATACCCTCCTGTAATCAAACGTGGCAACGGAATCCATCATTTATAGATGATGTTCCCAGCTATAAGCCTCGACTTACGGGATTTTCAATGTTTTCCGATACTTTGTCATTATCATCCTATGATTTTTCCCATTTAACATCATTTAAGCACCATCAAAACTAGGACTTCCCAACTATAAACCTCCATGTTATCATCATTTTCTTTGGAAAATTTCCGGGATCAAGTTCCCTGTCGCAGGCATTAGCCTCGCGTTTGTCGCGCAGCAACGTACGGGACCGCGGTTGGAACCGCTGTTTGGAGGGCTGGGCGACATATGGAACCCGGACGACTAAAACCAAAAACCACCCGAAAAGGAAAATGGTGATTTAAGCAGCAAACATATGAGGATTTTCGCATAGAAAAAAAACATGTGGGTAAAACCCATATATCTATGGTTTATGTTAGATATAACTATGGTTAATAGGGTTTATAAGCCAATCTATAAACTGATTAATGTGGGTAAAACAATGCCATTTTTACCAGTATAGCACCTATATAAAAATGGCAATGACTGCGAGATGGTTTATGGCAATGTTTTACCCACATCAGAAACTATGGAACTGTTCAAATGTTGAATCTTTGGGGATATGCGCTAAATGAATAGAAAGTGAAAAGTTAAATCTTAGGTTTGCGGGTTTCAATATGACTGAGAATAAGCAACCCATGTTCAGTATGCCAGTTAGAGTTTACAAACAAGTAGTCCAAGAGTGGCAATTGTTTTGCACTCTCTGGATTGCAAAATTTGTTGGGGGCCCAGGTGCTGCTAGGCAGCAGAATGAATGGACATTGACATATCCGGTGTCATCATACATGGCCGGGGAATTCCCAAACTTTTTAGAGGGGTTTACGTTGGATCATCGAACTACCCTCTGGTAAACATACAAAAAAACTAATAGACTATGGAAAATCACCATTTTCAATGGGTAAATCCACTAGAAATTGCTATTTTCAATAGCTATGTTCGTTTGCCGGAGGGTAAATGGAGGTGTTTTTATCGGCAAGCCATGTTTCACCAGGGGAAATTCTTGCCAGGCACATGATATTTGCACCCGCTTAAAGCATGGGGAACTGGGAACTTCTTGTTGTCCCTTAAGCATATCTAATTTCAACCAGAATGCAGAATACCAGGTATCCTGTATATAATTTCAGATCTATTCCATGATGGTATTCCCCAAAATGATGCTAAAAGTGTTTCAGGATGATATACATGGTATTTTCAGATGTCCAACTGTTCTGAATCTTTTTGAGGGTTGCTATGCAGCATGTTCTGAGCACTTCGCAGGGGAGAAAGATCACGTCGCATATCTAGCGCCGGGCTGAGACCCTTTGGGAGACTTCCACGGACCGTACAGTCACCAAAGGTTAATCCCTGTTTTGAAAATGCACACACACAATCATCATATGTTCTCTTTTTATGATGTTTATTTTTGAAGTATCTCTATTCAATCTACTGGATGATGAGTTTTTCTCCCCATATTAGCTATGATTCAAAGCTCCAAGTCAGCTTCGCTCCAGGAGTTGGTTCTGGGAACGCATCTGGGGGGAAATCCCATTGGTCCCGCGGGGGTTCAGGCCACCGAAACTTGGGATCATCGAAGGGATCCTCTGGTTATTTGTTACAGTTTGCGAACTGGAAAATTGCCATAGAAATAGTTGATTTACCCCATTTACCCGTCGTTGATTATTCGAGATGGTTACTTACTAGCTGTTGAAAATGACCATTTATAGTTGATTTATCCATATTTACCCATAAAAGATGGTGATGTTCCATAGTTATGTTGGTTTACCAGGGGGTTTACATTTGCTACATTTGTTTGTTGATGAAGCACGCTCATACATGTAACTGGACATGTTTTTCTTTTTCGCTGATATAATGTACATAATTTTGTAATGCCGTTTTTATGTTCACAATATCCTCATGATCTTCCATTCTTACCAATTTTCATCCTGGTTGGTGGTTTGGAACAGTTTTTATTTTTCCATATATATTGGGAATGTCATCATCCCAACTGAATTTCATATTTTTTCAAAGGGGTAGGTCAACCACCAACCAGCATCTGAACATTGGTCTGAACATGCATTGTTTCAAAGTTTCGCTTTGATGTCCACAAGATGGGTTGGGATCCCTGCCTTCTTTCCTTCCACATCTCATATCAAATGTGCCTGTCCCTTCCCGTAGCTCGCACATGCTAAATCATCTTAAGGACGGATCTAATATCATCTTAGAAGCAAATCTCCATGAATTCGATTCAATGAATTCACAGATGTTTTCCATATATCCCAGATTTTCCCACCTTTTCCTCCGTGGTCCCTGGTCCAGGCCTTAGCCCGCGGCCTGAACGACGCGCTGCCGCGCGCCGCGGCGAACCGCGAGACGCGGCTGGAGGCGCTGGCGCTGGAGGACTGCCAGGTGGGCGAGGAAGGCGCCAAGGCGCCAGGGGAGATGTTGGGAGATGTTTTCGCAGATGATTATACACTGATATGACTGATATGATTGATATATGTACTGTAATTATATATTAATTTTCCATTTATATCTATATATTTATATTTATACTTTTTGGGGATCTTTGGGATCTTTGGGATATTCCAATGGATAGTCCAATGGTTAATCATGGGGTAATAATGATGGAATACCCTTTGCTAAGTACAGTTTGCTATAGGTAATCATAATTGCCATAGTTGTTTTGAAATGGTATATAAAATGCTTCTGGGTAGATCAGGGGGGTGACCATATGTGTATATATATAGAGTTCTCCTAATGTAGATGGGGGTTAGCCTCTGGTAAATTGTTGTTTGCTTTTGAAAATGTCCATAGAAATAGCTGATTGAAATGTTCAAAATGAAAGTGATTTTCCATAGTTATGTTACAATTATGTTAGTTTACCAGAGGGTAGGGTGGGGAGACGAAGGGGCGGGTAGAAAGCAGGAAAATATGTGGGTACATACATATATATATATGATTTCAGTACGATAGAATATTTATATAATATATATATATATATGTGTGTGTGTAGAATACAAATATAGGTCCACTTCGAACTGGAACTGCACTTCCAAGTGCATGCATCCCCAACCAACTGGATAGTTAATTTAATCCTTCACGTATTTTTGCTACGGGCTATGCATGGAAAATGACCATAACCAGCAAAAGATTAACCGTGATTATTTTATCACTATTCAATATTGTCGTCACTTGAATCCCATTATTCCCATTATCATTATAACACCCATCATTTGGTAAGTAAGAATCACTTGAATCCCATTATTCCCAGTATCAAGATCAATTGTTATGAATATAACTGGAGTTGTGACACTTTTTGAATCATGAGAAATATCACCACTAAATATCACATTGTTAAAATGATTGTAATCCCATTTTCCCCGTCATCATTAAAATCAATGTTGCACAATGTAGACATTATGAAGTAAACCAGTTGGTAAGCACATTAAATTATTAAATATCATAATGGTTATAGTACATATATGTATCACTATCATCCACCATTATATTTACAATCATTACCCACCCCATCAGTTAACTATTCAATGTGTATGAATAGTTTCATGTTGCAAGCCATGATGAACTAACAATTATTTTAATTATATAATGCTATTCCCCTATTATTCCCGCTATTGTCAGTTTCATGATTCTACTCCTGTTATTAGATATTATTTCCATTAATCCCACATCCTTGTATCAAAGTTTTCCATGATCTTTATAATCCATCATTATCATTGTCCACCCCATACACCAACCATTCTAGTCCCATTTCATTCCCATTGATGGATTATAACGTCTATTCCCATTATTATCAATGAATGATAGCCCCATGTATTTCCATACGCCAAATGTTGTGATAGTCCATCATTATTCTAGTCCTATGACGTACCCTGTGGTAAACTAACAGTTTGCTATTGAACATGGCCATAGAAATAGTGAGTTTTCCCATGAATAGCATGGTGATTTTCCATAGTTATGGAAACGTTTACCAGAGGGTAGTAGGTTAGTTCACCTACTTTTTTTCAGTGGATAAACTCTAATTATCCCACTAACAAAACCAGGGATATCACCCACCTAGGATTCTTGGGGCTAGAGGGTAATCTCTTCATGTTTCCCCTTTCCAGTTCCACCCCCTCCAGGCGGCTTAGTGTAATCGTGAGATTCCCATAAAAATCCAGTTGTTCAATGAAGAACTGTATAATCCGTGTATATTATCATGTTTTTTCATTACTATTTCAGCACCCCAGGAATCAGATTATTGTTTTTAAAAAAAAAAACGCATTCTGACAATAGTGATATTTATGTATAATCAATAATTAATGGTTATATTCCCATTATCCCATTATTGAATCATTTTTATTACCATTATTATCATCATCACATTGGTACTATTAGCCCCTTGCTGCTGGTATCATTATCATCCCACTATCACCCCATCATCCCATGAGTATGATTATATATATATATATATGTTTTTAATTTTGAACCCATAATCAAGAATAATTACAATAGTTATCATCGGAACGTCAATCAACAATGAGTATAAACACATAGGGAATAATCATGTTATCCCACTGTAATAGAATCATACAGAAAGATACATGTTTTAGTTCCATAATGATAATTACAGCTATAAAATGTTATAATCACATAATCAAGAATAACTATAATACCATCATAATGATAGTAATCCCTTCATGATCCCATAATCCCATAGGTGTGATTATAATTTTAGTTTTAACCCCATTATGATTATCATAACAGTTGTCAATAACTATAATGGGATTATAACTTTAGTGATATTCATAAAATGTATAATTATACTTATCTCATTATCATTGTTATAATCCACTAGAATCAAGAATAATCCAATAATACAACCATAATCCCACAATAATCTGGTTGGTGGTTTGGAACATGTTTTATTGTTCCATACATTGGGAAAATAATCCCAACTGACTTTCATATTTTTCAGAGGGGTTGAAACCACCAACCAGTAATGATAATACTCATAATAGTTTTCATCTCCAATAATCAACGAGGGGTAAATGGGCTAAATCAACTATTTCTACGACCATTTTCCAGTTCGCAAACTGTAACAAATAACCAGAGGATCCCTTCCATGATCCCAAGTTTCGGTGGCCTGAACCCCCACAGGACCAATGGGATTTCCCCCCAGATGCGTTCCCAGAACCAACTCCTGGAGAGAATCGGTCTCCGCCTAGGCCCTGGCGGAGCATTTGTCGCAGAGCGCCCTGATGGCCCTCTCCGTGGCGCGCGGCCAACTTACCGACGAGGACGCCACGGCCATTCTGTGCCTCGGACGTTGGACCATGGTGATTTGATGGTGATGTAATGGGATGAAATTTTGATTTGATGGGATTTCATGGGAATTCTGGGGTTCTAAGCCCTTTGAATGGTGATTTGTATGATTTAATAGGATTTCAATGACAAAAAATTTGGGATTTCGTCGGGTTTCAGTGGGATTTTAACACCGCGACATTGATGATGATCTTACCCGATGGCATCCCACTAAACATGTATATATATATATACATATATATATAATACCCTCTGGTAAACAAACATAACTATTGAAAATAACCCAGTCGAAATAGTTGATTGTCCCATTAATAGCAGGGTGATTTTCCATAGTTTTTTGTATACGTTTACCAGAGGGTATATATATATAATATAGACGTTTATCATGGGATCAGGGAACTAACAAGGCAAAAAAAAACGGATGTTTCAAAATTTCAAAATGTTTTAACTCCAATCGTTTTTATTTGGGTATGGCGGAAATGTAAGGCACTGGATGAAAAGGGAAGGTATACCGGTTTTACCATGTACATACATATATTTATATATAAATATATATGTTACGACATGTATACACACATGCATGCTTCATAAATATATATATATATTTAATTATATATATATTGTCTTAAACCAATCCAGCGACCCTAAACATCAGCACTTCGGGGCCGAGTCTCAACATCGTTGGCCAGGATGGCCCTCTAGGAAAGGCTGCCACAAGGAGAAACATCCCCGGGATAGGACATGGTTACCCTCTGGTAAACTAACAGTTTGCGAACTGGAAAACGGGTGATTTATAGTGAGTTTTCCCATGAAGAATGATGATTTTCCATATGTTTGTTTACCAGAGGGTATCGGTGAAACATGATGAAACTCATTGAAACTCCAAGAACTGTAAAGTATCTACTGTGTACACATTGTAGGATAATGTCTAATTATACATCTGCCATGCACGGGCATCATTTAGTTTGCATATATACCCAGAAGCATATAGTACATACACACACATACATACATACATACATATATATATATATATATATATTTGGCCTCATCAAACGCAATCCTTTTTCCTTAGCCTGATTACGGATTGCAAACTTTCGGATTGTGATTGTTCACAGAGATTGCCGATTAAACCCCAGAACCCTTGCTTGCCATGTTGGTAATCATTATGTTTTGGTCATTTTGTTTTTTTAGTGCTAACTACCAAATGTGAGTTTCACGTTTGGCAGTGGACATGGTGCGCTCGGCGGGCCTAGGGGCTCAAGGGCTAAAAAGATAGAGACAGACATGCATCCAGACAGACATACAGACATACAATACAAAAATGTAAATGAAATAGCTATAGTGGCATCTTTGTTTTTAATGAAGTTATGGCCATGAGTTTCATAGTTTAATCTACTAAGCATTGAAAAGGTAACACTAACACATGCGCCGCCGCGTGCAGCAGCCTAAGGCTGGCCCTTCCAAAGTCCATCGCTTTTCTCGACTTGTCAGGCTGGTGTTGCAGATATATTTAAGGAGCTTTCCATAGATGGGGGTACCCAAAAAATGGATGGTTTATATATACAAAAGAACATCCTCCATTTTATGGATGGTTTATATATAAAAACAAAACAATCCTCCGTTTTATGGATGGTTTATATTTAAAACCACATTTATGAACCATTTCATTTACAAACAATTAGATGATTTAGGGGCACCCACATTTTATGAAACCTCCATTTGGGCCCCGGAACCATTGAACTGGGAAAATCGTCTTGGGATCCGCAGTTTATAATCCATATAACGGTGGGGATATTCCATGTATAACTGGGGGCAGAAACCATGGAAACTATGTGGGGCCCGCAGGGCCCGCACCCTCAAGTAGGGAAATGACATGAATTGACATTGTTTATAGTTTCACCGTCCCCCAAATAGACGTAGACTCTGCCATTTCTTAAAAGTTGGAAAATGAGTTTTCATCTGCTAAAAATAGTATTTATAGTTATTGATCCATAGCCATCTGCTTATTTTTACATAGACCCTGTTTTACATAGACTCTGCCATAGTTTTCAGGGTCTATATAAAAATTGTAGCAGATGGCTATGGATCAATAACTATGAATACCGTATGTTAGGGGGATGAACATCCACAAATCCCAGCTATTTTGATGAGCAAATCCTGGGTTTGGAGCCGGGGGTGTCCGTACTAGATGGAAAGCTATAAGGAGCTACTTGGATGTGCGGGCCCCACGAATCCTAAGTAGGTGATATCCCTGGTTTTGTTGGTGGGATAACGAACGGGTGTATCCACTGAAAAAAGTAGGTGAACTAACCTACTAGCTGGTAAACTAACATAGCTATGGAAAATTACCGTGCTATTCATGGAAAATCAACTATTTCTATGGCCATTTTGACTAGCAAACTGTTAGTTTACCAGAGGGTAGCTGGGATGATGAACCAGCAAGTACTAAGTTTCCTGACCACACGACCTGGCCTGGCATGCTGATGATTTTCGGCCCGGTCAGATTTTATGACTGGTATGACCGGTACGGTTTGTGTGTGATTCGATCCTAAACAAGTTACCATTCAATCCCATTAATCCTCACTAAATCACCATTATAAATGATATCAAATCCTCATTAACATAGTGATTTCATATTAATGAGGATTCAATATCATTTAAATGGTGATTTAGTGAGCTTAAATGATATTAAATCCTCATTACCATGTTAAATCCATATTCATCGTCCCAAATTCCTGTTGGATTTCTCGTTTTTTTCCCAGCTGGTGTTCCCTGCAGGAAACCAGCTGAGCGACTTAACGGCGTCCATTGCTGGAGAGGCGTGGGCGTAACGGAGTCCGTCTCCACTGGGTCCAGGGAGAAACATCTGCTGAAGCCACTTTGGCTGGGGAATCTATAGGAATACCCCCTGGTAATTTGTTACATAGCTATGGAAAATGGGTGATTTGTAGTGGGGATACCCATTAAACTTGGTGATTTTCCATAACATAGCTATATTGAACATGGGTGATTTATAGTTGATTTACCCATTAAACATGGTGATGTTCCATAGTTATGTCAATGTTTACCAGAGGGTATATAGGAATATTATTCTGGTTGGTGGTTTGGAACATGAATTTTATTTTTCCATAATATATGGGATAATCCTTCCCAACTGACTTTCATATTTTTCAGAGGGGTAGGTATACCACCAATCAGATAGGCATATGTCTCATTTCAGTACATCCAACTGATGATCATAGTCTATACAGTCGCCATACAAATCCTACTGATTAAGTTCAATAAATAAGCCACTGGATGTGATCATCATGATCACGCAGAATGTGGATAAGCGCTTCCCACGCTTGAACTCGTGGCAAGAGAGATTGCGTCTGAACACGGTGTCACATGGAATAACGTACGAGCGCAGGAGCCGCGTACGTTATCTGTGGGGCATATTGGGGCAATCGGATGCAATCAGCAGGTGGCCTCACCGTCATCAAGAAGCACATCCATACCCATAGGATCCATGTATGCTATATATGGTAACATTTACCATCAATATACCCCCAATGTTAGCATATAGGCCATACATGGATCCTATGGGATAGTCTTCACTCATCAGAATGGCACGACATCAGAGACGGAAGTGTGGGCGAATTCGTGCGACGTGTCGAAAAACGACGCCAGGCGGCGACACAGATGAAGACGGTGGTGGCGACACGCCAAGGGGCAGGGCATGTTTGGCCAAGGAAAGTATAGGGCACGTCATTTTGTGGTACGCCGCTCCAAAGACATGGCAAGTGAAAAATGTAGAGAGAGAGAGATGTGTGTATATATCTATATATATATACATACGGTAACAACATTTAAATATGTGGAGGGCGGGCCAGACCGCGAGGCCCAGGAGGTAGTATGAAATACTAGTTCGTATATTTAAAATTGCGTACATTTAAACGTAGTTACCGGGCACACACATATATATATAGAAGCTATCTTCGAGGATGCAAGGGCCAACAAGGACACCACATCATCAATGATCATCAGCATCAGTGTCTTCATCATCATCAACAACTTCAATATGCAGAAGATTATATAGCCCGGGAAACACTGGCACCACTAGCAGTCACTAGCATCATGGATTTGCTGAAGATGATTTGTTGATTTTCCCACCGGAGAATCCACTACATGTGGGAATCATGGGGAATCTATAGGGAATCTTCGTTGTGTTCTTGTGAGATTCTTTGAGCCTTTACATTTCAAAGCCGTGCCTCGTGCCTGCACAAAGGGATAGACTAGCCGCCCATGCACCACTTTCGGCGGGAAGTGAAAGTGCTTGTTGCTTTATCTATTCGTTCATTGCAGGAAGGGTCCCCCCCTTTTGTAAGTTAGTTTTGAAAATCCCGTTGGACTTAGTGACTAGATATATGTGTATATATAACTATAACTATAATATTCATCTTTAATCAATCAGTATTCATAAATATCCTACCTAGTTGACCTATAGTTATAAACTAAGTGACCCAAAAAAAATGGGCCTCCCTTGCTGTAACCCCCCCAACCACCCGATCGGACATGCTGGCAGACTCTCTACAAGCGTTCTGGGATGTCGATCAGCTTGGCTGCGAACTTTTTGAGTCCAACCATCAAAATGCTGCTGGCTGAGGACTGAAAAACAGCTGTGGGGCGAAACAGCGGGGATTCTCTGGGTTTTTGTTTGAAGTTACCCTCTGGTAAACTGTCACAGAACTATGGAAAATCACCATGTTTAATGGGAAAACTCACTATTTCTATGGCCATTTTCAATAGCTATATTAATTTACCAGAGGGTAATCATGATTAACGATGGATAATGGATGATAATTGATAGTAGCAATAATTGATGTATGGTTTGATAGGGACAATACTGGGAGAATATGGGAGGATACTGGGATAACCTGTAGTAATGTTAGCAAAGCAATGTCATAAAAACCACCCATATGGATTGATGTTTTTTTTCACCACTCATAAACCTACTGCTTGACTAACATTAGATGGGTACTTTGACTATCCAGTGGTTAGGAGGGAGCGGTGAAGGGAGCTATGGATATCCATGTATCATTTTCCCTTTCAAATTGGGGATAATTGGGGCCGACCAACATGTTTTTTCAATACATTAGAGGTCTGGTGGATGACAGTACTAGGTGTGAGTTTGCATCTAGATCTGTTTGGCCCAATCCCTGCTGTAAATCACTAAGTCACAAAGTGTAGGTTCACCACCTCTCCAGCATTTTGTTGGTTAGATCTCCGTTTTTGGTCCCGCAATACACCTATGAATATCCCATTTAATCCCATTAAATCTCAATCAAATCTCAGTAACATTGCCAACTGTACAATAGTTAATTCTCTGTACTTAGGGGGTGCAGTTGGGTTTCTTAATGGGCATAACTATGGTCATAACCTCCATAAGTTGGGATATGGCCCCCTAGAACTATCGTTATACATCGTTATTCACTTATTAGTCAAGCTGCACCCCCAAGCACAATCCATCATTATCCCGAAACGCTTCAACGGCAGGAACATGGCACGCGTTTGCGCCTTTGACGTCATTTGATCCAGCGATTTTTTGGCCCAGAATGGCCCAGGGTGGCATGTCAAAACCTGTGATGTTTTTGGATGGATTATGGCGATCGAATTATACAATTAATATAGGGATGCTTATCGTGAACTTAATCTGGTTTGTGGTTTGGAATTTTTTCATTTTCCATAATGTATGGGATAATCCTTCCCATTGACGAATATTTTTCAAGATGGTTACTGTAAAACATGTTAAAACCACCAACCAGATAGCCATGGTCTAGATTTTTAGTGTGTTTGGATGTTTCTGGGGTTAGATGCCTTTTGCACAAGAAAAACAGACCAAAAAAACACCCTTCGATTTCCCAGACCTTCACAGTGAGATGAACAGACCTATGCACCTTTTCAATGTGAGCAAGACCCTGGATTTGCTGAAGGCAATTCTTGTTGATTTTCCTGACTGGTTGATCCACCAGAGAAACGGACAACTCTTGGGATTATGATGACTGGTTGGTGGTGACTGGAACCTATTTTTTTAATGACGGACTCCAGAACCCATGATGGATCCATGGTGCTGGTATATTAATGCTAACACAAAGGGGGTATATTGATGGGATCCATGTTGCCATATATACCATACATGGATCCTATGGGTAATATATGGGATGTCATCCTTCCCATTGACGAACTACGAACTATTTCATATTTTTCAGAGGCGTATAGGTATACCACCAACCAGAAAATCCATGTGAAATGGAAAAAACAAAAAACACTTTTTCATCAAGTTCTCGGAATTTTCTAGCCACGTGACACCAGTGGGTCCTTGGAGCAAGAGACTCAACACATCCAGGGGATTTGTCGTGTGGTCAACCCACAAAAAGCCGACCGTGCTGGATCCGCCGAAGACCGGCGGAGACCGTCTCCGAAACGATGGACGGTGTGAAAAATTCGAGGGGTTTTTGGGGGGAAACGGTTGGGGGATGGGTACAGGATGGTGCCCCAAAATGCGATGGCTATGTTGGTTTACAAACCCCAGAAAAATACTCGTTGGTTATATCTACCGGAAACCATAGTTAAGATATGTTAAGATAGTTAAGCCACTTAAAAATAAGGCAACTGAACGCTTTCGTTTACGGGGGCCCCATCCTGGTTGGGGATTTAACATGATTTAACCATCAATCATCGATCATTAGGACCCGGCGTTGTCACAGTTTCACCGTCTAAACTTGGGGAATCAACTGTTGAAATTCTGTAAACCAACTGGTAAGAAAGCTACTGTGGTACTTTACCGTAGCCTTTTGCCGTAAAATGGTCGTATATTGACTTAAGCAGCTTTCTCATGTTTTGTGCCTATCTCACATTGTCCCTCATTCTATCCCTGAATGGCAGTTGCAGAGGTTGCAAGAAAGTGGATTGATTTTATTGCAGCAAAATTTGATGCTGGAATTTAAGGAGGGTAAGCAGCAATGCGTTGGTTTGACCATCCACGATTGGTGTACCATCTGGTTATTTAACATAGCCATGGAAAATCCCTCATAAATGGAGGTTTTAATGGGAAAATCATCTATAAATGGGCAATTTTCCATGGCTATGTTAAATAACCAGAGGGTAACTATTGAGGAACTGTAGGAGAAAAGGGGAATGGGATTTCCTAGTCTCACTTTCCAAGTTCAGGGGTCTCACTCACTCTGCCGGTATGTGTTTTGGGTGAACTGCCAGATGAATGGCAGATGAATGTGCTCATTCATAGCCACGTGTACGGAGCAATATGATGTAATCTGCCAAACATATATGACATTTTTTGGGCGGTAGATATTTTTGAGAAACATGTTTGATGATTTGATATGCTTTATCATGTGCAAAATCGAAACTGCCAGTTCTACCTTCCAGCCCATCTTCAAACGCGATCTGGACGCCCCAACGTTGATGTGCATCCAGACATCCAGATGAGTAAGTCCCGCAACGATATGCTGGGTTATCCCGTTTCATTGCCCTACATCTGGTTGTCCCAGATTTGTTGAATTGCAGGGAAAATCTACAGGAAACCGTTTCAATCATCCTTACCCTCTAGTTATGTCAAAATAGCTATTGAAAATGGCCCAGTCGAAATAGCGAGTTTTCCCCTGGAAAATGGTGGATCTTTCCATAGTTTTTTGTAAACGTTTACCAGAGGGTAATCCCACATGAATTCCAGATATTCCAGTGTTGATTTTCCATTATCCCCATATATCCCCATATATCCCTATCATCCTTGTTGGAGGGTACATGTGATGGTCAAAACTTTTGGTTTCCGCAGATTGTCCCTGCAACCGACAGGTTCACGGCCCTCGGGGCTTACTGGGGGTGACCAGTCTTCCACCGGGATCTACATCAGGGTGGCAGAGGAATCAGCAAGAAATTAAAAAAAACATTTCAGGTCAGGTCCTTTCCCAAGGGTGAAAGACGCTGACAGTATCTTAAGATATTGGGCTTACCACATTGCATTCATGAGAAAACTCATTTAAATGTTTAGTGGGTCTTGAATATGCATGTCATGTACATACATTTGATTGATACAATGTGAACCCCGTACACCTTGACCATTGATTGATTCGGTGATTACCCCCAAAACAGCTCCCTATATTACTACCAACATTATCTAAAATTGGCATCCTCTATTCATAAACTGGGGGTTTAGCAAAATCCTGGCTTAACACAACATTACGTATGCTCGCATAGAAAAAACATCGCGATTTGCATCGCCAAGTTGGACTCCGAGCCTTTGCGTCTCTGCAATGCAAGGGCTCAAGGGCAATTGCTCAATCCGAGCCCTCAACTTCTCGTCACGTTCCATTCGTAAATCGAACTTCCGTTACTACTTGCACCTTACGGTGTGGACCTCCAATTTGGACAAGACTTGGTTTGGTGAACTGCTGCACAGGAAAGGTGTAACTACCCGCTGGTAAACGTTTACCATTTTTGATGGGAAAGCTCCACCCATTTTTCATGGGAAAATCCACTATTTCTATGGCAATTTTCAATAGCTATGTTAGTTTACCAGAGGGTATTTGGGAATTATATGGCTCTTTAGCATTTACATGCATTTACTGTGCGCTCTGTTTCTGTTGGAGGAGTGCCACGTGTTACTCTTGCAAGGTTGAGCTCCCAACTTGGCACATTTCCAGAGCATTGGCAGATGATGGGTCGTGATAAGCATCCCAAAACAGTAAAAATCATGGATTTGCTTCAGGAAATGACCATCATTTCCCCAATGAAAATCCACCATTTTGGGAATCTTGAGACAATATGTTTCACTTAGCGATCGTCAATTTCCGTTAAATGGTCTATAGTTACTACTATCAACCATGCATCATTTTGAGAAGCTTCATGCCCCAATCTTGGTATCACATCCCTCCGAGAATTGCTGGATGCCAAGGATTTGGCAGAAACATCGTCAGTGTAGAAACTCTCTCAAGAAATCCATTAGATTCATATCTTAAATCATCCCAGATGCGAACCATGGTGCTGGTATATTTAACTACATAACTGGGTGATTTGGTTCGGGCAAATGTTGGTAAATATTCCAGCACCATGGAGCATATGGGCATAGTAAATCTCATTTAAATTAGATTCGTTAGATCCAGATTCATAAAAATCCATTAAACATTCGTTTTGATCAAGAATCCAAATCTGGTTGGTGGTTTGGAACATGTTTTATTGTTCCATATGTTGGGAATGTCATACTCCCAATTGACGAACACCATCATTTTTCAGAGGGGTCGGGTCAATGACCATTTCAGGAACCTAAATTGGAGGTACCTACCATATATAAGGCCTATATAAGGCCTATGTAAGGGAATATCCCCACAAAATATGGCCTTATATGGTACAGTACCTCCATTTTAGGATCCTGAAATTCCCATAGATCGGGTAGGTTGAAACCACCAACCAGTAAATCTCATGATGTCCCATGAAATCTGGATCCTTGCAGCGAATCCCCATGTTTTTTGGCCAATGCCTTAAGGTCAATGACGGCCCGTCTGTCATTGGTCGCCGCTTGGGTTCAAGGGCTGAGACTGGTGGGTGATGGGTGGGTCGTTGGAACTCGGCTACAAAGAAATATGGGTTCACCCAGGGAAAACATGGGGATACAGAAAGGATAAGGATATGTCGGATATGGTATGTATGTATGATATATATATATAGATAGATGTATTATATATATATATTATGTATACGTGTTGTCGAAGTATACATAGAAAAGCACCAACAAGATGCAACAACATGACACTAATTCAATGCAATTCATCATTATTTGGGTGGGATGTTACTTTTCTGTCTTTTTTGGGTTGCTATTTGTGTATACGTATATATCTATCTATCTATATATATATAAATATGTATTTATGGAATATGATGGCAACATGATTTGTTTCATGATTTTTGTTTATGAACTAATGATGTTGGAGTTATGAAGATTAATCTACGCATTTCTCAACTTCGATGTTGAGCCCTCGAAATTCTTTTGGATTGAAGCTATACACGTTCGTTCTTAGCCTAGATTTTGGGTTGGGATTCGATGGGGTGGTTCACCATTTTGAGTTTCGGGGATCAAGAAACGACCCGTCGGATACGCTTCAAATGTGAATCCCTTCCAACTATACTATCGAATACTGTATTTTTTCCATATGGGAATGGATTAAGTTGATTTAAGCTGCCTATGAAATGCCCCAAAATAGCATGATCATCAATCCCAGCTATTTTTGGGGCGAAATGCCCAAGATTCTCGATGGCGGAAGCTCCCTGCCCGCATCGAGGCATTTCTCCTTCCCGCTGTGCTTGGCTACAAGGCATCTGCCGATGTCAGCACAGGACAGCTTCGAGCCCGCCGCCAACTAGTGGGATGAGGGTATCAAGCATTCTTTTGTAGGTCAACCAACTGGATGGGTAGTTTACCCTCTGGTAAATTAACACTTCGACCCTGATAGATAGGATAGGGGTTGGAAGACTAGTGAAACCATTAAAAATTGGTGATTTTCAGGGTCGAA